TTTTTAAAAGGAACTGCCTAAATTGTAATAATAATGTTTTTATTCAAATAAGATTTTTTTTCAAAAGTCTTACATTTTACTTAAAATTAATATATTGATTATAATTTTATTAAACAACAATCCAGAGAACTTCTTGCTGCTCATAACAGCTACCTTTATTCTCTCAACTTTGAGGCAATCGGACTTTAAATGTGAACCACACASACTTTAAATAAATTGTCTTTATCAGCAAGCAAAACTAACCTTTTTTATATCATCTAAATCCATTTAACTCYGAATTAATTTCATTTTAGGCACAAATCATAGATCATTTGTAACTAAGCATCATTTTGACAGGATTACTCTGGGTGAAACTTTTCCACCTTTGTTTTTTCTTTATAATGGCAAAAATAATTACTTAATACTTACATTGCAGCAACAACATGAGTTCTCATAAGAAGCAGGTTTTATTTCAGACTATGTGGGCAAATACACATAAATCTGAATTCCATATCTCATATTCCCTGCCAATATCTACCATTTGGTTTATTTACCATCCAGCATGATAATCAACACATTAGGCATGTGCTAAATAGTTCTATAAATACTATATTCAGATATACAAGGTAATGTGAAACTTTAAAAATCTTTAATAGAAAAACCATCCAGATGTAAGGTTTACCAAGCCTATGGTATACACTAATCCCTTGGAAAAGTTATACCGTGAATCCATAATTAACATAGCTGATTCTCTACTTACAAGTATTCTCACATACTTGGTTAAAAAAAAAAAACAAACCAAAAACCAGACATAAAATTTTGGGTAAAAAAGCATTTCAGGTTGCATAAAGAGCTTTGATTAGTCCACTGTTCCTACTATCATGATACGATCCTTGACTAGTCACTTATTATTTTTTCTGGAGGGCTTCAGCATTATTCTGTATAGGAKGCAGACAATACTAATTTAGCATAAYATTGCCCACACWCCAAATTTACACTCATGCTTCAATATGTGAATCTCATTTTACATCTAATGTGTTATTTCAAATCTTTCTACAAGACCACATTTTCTCATTGGATTTTTTTTTTATAGGGCTCATTAGCACAGCAGATGATTGCTTCATAAATCTACCTCTCTTTGCAATACCTCCATGAGGGAGTATCTGGCATAATTTGCATTCCACAGTTTGGATGTTGAGGCTGAAATATGTTAAGGTTAAAAACACTTGTACTTATTGCTCAATCTGAGATGCCCACAGGCGCTTTTTTTTTCTTTTTGCTTTGAATGACTGCATTAGATACATTCAGWGAGTGATCCTTAATTCTGGTCACAGCTGTGAATGTTTGGTATTTTCACAAAGTGGACTTCTGGGTTTCCACTAGGTACCCAGAAAATTAGGATCAGACTAATGACTGTTGTGTGAAAAAATATTTTATCTAACTGAGGAAACATCATGCAGGAATGTGGTTCCAGAGGCAGGATGGGAATCCAGTTCTCCAGGGGAACATTCTCCTGCCTTTTCTATGAAATAATGTGTCAAACTGTAATTACTCTCTTAATTTCTGAAACAATTTCTAACTTCTACAATAAAAATTGTGATGCCACAATTTTATACTGCTTATACTGCTTCATTCTGCCTCAGCCTGACCTATTCTTCAGTGGCTTCCCAATTTCCTTTAAAAATCTCTCTCTTGAATCTTGYTCTTCTTCTTCACCTTTTATTCTCATAATTTCTACAGTCTTCTTTTCCCATTTTACTTCCTTACCTTTTCTAGTAAAGTTATTGCTCTGGCTGCTGCCTTCTCCCCACTGTATCTTCCCTCTGCAGCCACCCAAAAATCTCCACTGCCTGGGCAGGATCACTGTGGGTTTATTACAACCAAATGCTGCTCCCAGCTATGGACAAGATATGCAATTACTGCAAAAGTCCTGYCTGGACTCTCAGCCACAGTTTGGCATTTACTCAGCCCCTCTTTTTTAGGGGACTGTAAATTCTTCTAAAATAAGTTGTGCTGGTGAGCTGTGGTGGCAAGCTGCATTGTTAATATATGAACTGAGACTCATCGGCTCATCATAAACTCTTGCAGATTCTGTGGTCCAAACCAGGAGCTGTTTTGCTCTCACCAGAATTGAGCACAGAAGTGTTGGAGTCCCCTGTTGAATTCTGCCCAAATGATTTAAGTCATTGAGGTCCCCTATCCTCTGGAGCTCACTTGCTTTTTAGGTATTGGTGAACCTGGCTAGAAAAAAWTCCTAACTAGGACTCCTCAAAATAACTCCCAAACTCAAAAGGTATGACTATGGAAAGGACTAGATTCTGCCAGAACCAAATTCAAAAAATACATCTTGAACAAAGGTTCCTTTGTTCAAGAAARTTTCCTTAAAGACTATAATAAAGCTTTAATTTCTCCCTGTGATTTACACACACTACWTATTAATATATCATATCCCATTGTATAATTGCTTTTCATAAAAAGTCCTATAATAAATGTCCTGAAAAAATTCTGATTATTTAGAGAAATAMAGTCTATATTTTTGTATGAAGTTCTGAATAAACAGTTGCATATATTTTATGATAAGCTTTTTTTTTTTAGATCGAAATCCAATAACCATATGAATCTATTTATTAGTAGAATCCACTTAATCTCGGTGTKCATAAGGGATGCAGAGGTTACAGACAAAGATTATTGAGTGAACACTGCTTATTGAATTATCATCTGTGACTCTTGGAGAATCTTCAAGAAGAGATCAGAAGTCAATGCCATTTTCCCCACACATTTCCCTTGGTATAAAAGAAAACAGTCAACATATGGTACAGAGCCTATTATTCATGGATATGCATCCAATGCCTCAGGCAACAAAAACTATAAATGCTCCTAAATCTACMATTGTTGTAATTATTATTACAATATCTTCCTTTTATTGTCACCATTTTGACACTGAACCAAACTTCCATCCCTCGTGCCACACTGCTCTGGTGCCTGGGATTGAGTTGGAGTTATCTGAATTTATATTTTTCACTCTCCCTGTGGAATTCTATCTCTGAAGTTTGGCAGTGTGTGTGATTATCCTGTCTCTAAAATTGACTCTTCTGTGTCTGTGCTGTTCTGAAGTTCATTGCATACCATARCTAACAGCATATCATCCTAACAAGGTCAAAGCTTAGGATGACAATATCTGTGGCAATATTTGATTTCCCATATCCTAATCTACCATTTTTTGCAGGGCCTGGAAGATTTCCTTTATTACTCTATCTTTGTATTTCTTACTTTTCATTCTTGCAGTTCACACCAAGCACGGTCCTGYTGCCATCCAGAGGGATCTTCATAAATGGGAGAATTGTGTTGACAGAAATATGTGAAATTCAACAGTGAAGAGTGTAAAACCTTGCACCAGGTGGATATYCCAGTGTCCAGTAGATACTGGGAGCCACCCAGTCGGGAAGTAAYTTGGCAGAAAAGGCTCTGAGGGTCCTGGTGGAAGCCAAGGTGAACATGAGATGGCAAAGTACACTTGAGGCCAAGCAGGGCAACAGTAGCCTGGGGTGCATCAGGCAAAGTATTGTTAGCAGATCATAGGAGGCTGCCTGCTCAGCACCAGTGCTCCTCTGCTCAGCACTGGTGATGCCACACTTGAAATCCTGGGTCCAATTTTGGGCTCCCCAGTCCAAGAGAGAGATGGAATTACTGAATGGAGTCCAGTGAAGAGCCACTAAAATGACAGAGGGACTGGGGCATCTCTCCTATGAAAAGAAGCTRAGGCAGCTGGGACTGTTCAGCCTGGAGAAGAGAAGGTTAAGGGGTGTCTTGTCAATGTCTATAAATACACGATGAGGGAGTGGCAAAGAGGATAGAGTCAGATTCTTTCCAATGGTGCCCGGTCCCAGGACCAGTGGCAACAGGCACAGGGAAGCTGCGGAGTCTCCACACTTGGATATATTAAAAAGCTGTCCAGACAAAGTCCTGGGCAATTGTTTCTAATGACACTATTTGAACAGAAGGATTGAACTAAAGGAATTCTGAGGTGCCATTCATCCACATCTCTTCTATGAATCTGTGGCTCTGTGTTTCTCCCTTTTMTTTTTTTTTTCTTTTTTCTTTTTAGTCTCTGACATACCACCASAGTTCTATAGCTCTACATTCATTAACAGCTGTAGAATTTCTCAATTAACACCAAATGGTTTAAGAGCTGGTATTGAGTCAATTATCCACAGGTTGCTATTAATGGGAGAAATGTTTACAGAAGTATAGTTTCAATATGCCACTGAATATTGCATCCCATGTAATATAGAATCCTGCCTGGCATGATAAAAGAGACACAAAGGATTAGYAAACAGAAGTGTTGTAAGACCACAGAGAGGGTCTTACATGAAATGATGATGAGCTTTATGCAGTCTATTCATGTTCATGGGGAATATCAAGAAGTAAGTTTATTTTTTTTTTCTGCCTTTATTAATTAGCTCATGCAAAGCCCAGTAGCTTCCTCTGAAATATAGACTCTGGTTTCATAATATGCATTGAGTCTAGTTCTTAACATATTTTTCTCATGAAAGGATAATGAGAGTTTGAGGCACGAGATGCTTGATTTCAATACATATCAGTCACATTAAAATGCAACAGCAACACTTAAAAATGAGAAATTCTGGGGAAAAACAKGAAGTTGCAAAGATAAAATTATTTCTGTATTGTAATATAACTGAATCTRATGGAGAYAAAGTTGTGTGAGTGGCCGAAATGCTGGCATTTCCTATGAGGAGTTTGCAATTTTAGCATTCTTTTCTATAGCTCAGYGGGCTTGAAAACATAAATAGTCCTTATATTTGACAGTCACACATGCCAGGCATAAAATGGAAATCAATGCATGGGTTGACATTTTGCAGGAGGGATCACCAATATATTTTTGCCTTTGTTCTTTGGYAAAAAAGGAAAYAGARAAAAAAAGATATATTCAGAGTCATGACAGTGTCATAAAAGTTAAGAGATTTGGTAATTGTCATTCTGCTGGCTTGTAAAGCACTCACCATTGCTTGTAATCAGCATCACAGTTGCAGTAGTACTTGGGATCCGTACAGTTGCGTTCGATGCCACAGGCACATTTTTGAATGCCAGGTCCTGATCCGCCCCAATAGTAGTGCTTTTCRTTGGCTTTTCCAACCCACCAGGTGTATGGATTCCCTTCTGCAAGGAATGAAAATACAAAGTTATGGTGCATCAAAGAGGTAGAGCTCYGTAAAGCATTAACTGAGCTGTTTAATATGCAAATGTAACAACACATAACGAGCCATCCCGCATTTCTGGCAAACAAATGAATYCATTATTACTGAAGGCATTCAAAGGACCTTGCCAGGTACAGAGAATACATTTTCTTTTCTGTATTCACACAATTTCTAATGATTGAAATGATTTTTTTTTTAATCTCACATTCTCTTTGTTTAGCTTTTTAATTGTACTGTTTGTATAATGAGAATGTGAGCAGATTCCATAATTATTTTCCATTAATTTCAAGCTCGCTTTCAAACTCAAGCTATCAGATGGATTATTTCAATATTTGACCTTGAATGCTGCACAGAAAGATGTGTTTATTTTCTCTTATTTATTTATTTATTAAATAACAAGTTTTAATTGAAAATTATTCTGCCTTCACTGGAAAACAAACATGTTCATCATGCTCTCTCCAGCTGGTGTAAACAAAGCATAAAGAGATATTGTCAAACTCCAACAGCACTTAAGCATTTAAGAAAAGTCCTTTTTTTTTTTTTTTTTTTTTTTTTTTGTTTTTTTTTTTTTTTAGTTTAGAAATTACAGGGTTTGTATATGTCACACAGATTTTTTTTTCTAATTTTATCATTTTATTTTTTATTTTTTTTTTTAAATGTTATACCTTAGCAGAGATGCACTGAACTTTGATATATAATAATATTTCTTCATGTTGGGTCCATAACTTGATATTTTCATGTACAGCTCTGAGCTTATTTCTAATCCTTTTATACTAACTAAGCCTTTACGTGTAAATAAATAAATAAACTCCCTCCACKCTAATTTCTAATTTGAAAAAAATTCCCTTACTGGAAAATACTTTTTTTATTCCTCTGKTTCAGGAAGACACGCAAATAAGAACTCAACTTCAAACACAAGTGAATAACTCAATCAGTATCAATKATAGTGATTTTTGACATCAAAAAATAATGATTGACCTCAATCTATAAAAATGTTGTGGTTTTTTTTTTTTTWAATGACATTTTCCCCTCATCTAATCTGCTGCTGGAACTTTTATATTAAATGGAATTAAGCTATGCAATTCACTTATTAATAAATTTTACCAGTAAAATCCCATATAATACATATTCCATTTCCATAATTTTCTCTTTGCACACCTCACACATTCCCTCAAAACTACAGGCATAATCTTTAAAACAATCATTTCATAATTAGATTTGATCATTTAGACCACAAGACTACTTATTGCCGCCAGAAGCTGAAAGTAATTCACACCAAACTCTGAAGAAAACGAAACTCCAGAGATGAAGAGAACAACAAAATATCTACACATATGTTTAAAGAGTACCAAAACCCAAATTATGCAGCTCTCTGAAAACACTTTTTTTCAATGTATTTG